ATCAGATTCATACACAATAGATTACTTGTGAAAATTTTCATAAGGAAAAAGTTATTGTAATTTAAATACACATCATATTGTAACTTGAATATCTAAGTATGACATATCATTAATGAATTGTTTGACATTGATTTGATAAGATCTTAATAATCATCATTTCACTGCACTATTTGTTTGAACTGAGAAAGGTAGTGGTAAACCTTGGAAGATTTAGATATCAAGTCAGTACCATAGGGATTTGATTGCGTTTCTTGTAATCTTTACCCAAAAATGCAAAAATATTAAATCATGATTGATTGAAGGCTGCTTAATGTCCAGCAGCAAATTTACTTGTATATTCAGGACAACAATACATTAATGAGATAATGAATATACTTTGCACAAGACCAAAAGGCTATGTCAGATCTTAAACATGCTAGTTCACAAAATTATGGTCTGAAGGAAGACATATTACTCTACTTACACAAACCATGTACAAGAATTGTGGACACTTTTGAGGGAGATAACTCAAATTAAGAAATAATTCTTTTGGACTGGGTTTCTAATCTCCTTGACTCATCTGGTGTCCAGATCGCAAGATAAGACAACTCTCGATATGTGTCGCAATGGTCTATATATGATCAGATATGTGTTAATTGACTAATCAGTGGGAGTCCTTTAACATGTTAACTATCAGCAAGGATTTGCATAGTTTTAGATCCTTGCTGTCAGCAAGACACTTGGTTTTAAAGGGAAAGCAAAATTATATTTAAATATGCAACATTGCTACATTGTACTTGGGCTGTAGTAGAAAGAATTCACGACTAACTATGTCAAAAAAGTTCATAGTTTAATTTTCATTTGGCATAATTACACATCTTTCTTTCAAGAGAATCTTTGTCTTTCTTGATTATACATGTAGTAAAAAAAAAAATCTGAAAAAAGGGTATTTACTATCTGTTTTATACGCCTCTGTAACCGTAAACGATTGACTTTACAATGTTATGAGGTCATAACTAAAGGTAATTTTTCAGTCTTGAGTTGCAAGTAAATGGCACAAAGTCCCACACCTGACCGTCACACAATTGATAGGACAAAAATTCACAATTAAATAGTAAAACTGTTTACTATCGTTTGAATATATTAGAGAAACTTAAATTATTGAAGTACTTTCTTTTTATCACAAAAATTCATTATACAGCTTGGGATATTGTTCGTTAGAATAGAAAAATGAAGACTTATCAAATTTTATTCATGCAAAGGATATATTTCTTGGTACCATAAAGCCAGTCAAGTAGTAACAATTTTTTTCGCAGCCTATTTTCTAAATAATCACTAGATCATTATGAATTCTTTTACCGTGAATTAATTTTGTTTACAAAGTTGTTTATACTTACAATTATTAATGTTCAAGAAAACACAAAATATTACTTTGAAATAAGTTTTTCACATTGTTAATCAGAGACAAACTATCTCTAACCTGACTTTTTTCTGGTACCATCTTCGTGTCCGGCGCTTTTATGGCCTACATTTGAAATGTATCATCTTAAATCAACAAATGGATATATTGGCTTATAAATAAAAAAGATTTGGTATGATGAAAACTTTCCGTCAATTGAAAGAACAAAATACGAGGATGTTAACAACTATAGGACACTGTACGTCATTTAACAATGAGTAAAACCCAATTATACATGTTATAAAAAGTTATGTTATAAAATGCCCCGGTATGAAAAAATGAGAAATCATTTAAAAGAAAAAAACGCTGTATCTGTATTACATTTAGATAATGATGTTTATTCTTAACATAAACCTATATATTGAAAAGAAAAGATGGGAGTAATATGCAAAAACATATGAAACTCATAAATCTCGAAAACATATGCGGTGTGAATCTAAATTTTTCAATAAACTATAGAGCTTCATCTTCACATGTGTATCCGGGATCGTTTTCCGTCTTCCTCAAGCAAGTTTAAAAAGCAATTCATATTGATGAAGATAACAAATGTTTTCATATATATTTACCTGCAAAATCGCTAAATAAGTTCATGAAAAGGCATTATAGGTCTGCTATATACAACTTTTTATACAGCCATTGTATGAGGGTTCTTTGAATTTTAGACATAAACAAAAACATGTCTATCCAAAACAATTTTGTATTCACATAGCCCGGTAAGCAGAAAGGCAAAATAGATTTTCAAAAATATTTAATATGCACTCATGTGGGACGGTCATTTTTATATAGACACCAATAGCAGGCGAATTAGAACTTAGACGATTTACTGTGAAAAAAAGGAATAGGATAGCAAATTTTCGGTACCAAAAACAAGATGTGTGGCATAAACTTAAACAAACCAGAGTTAAGTTCTTTTCTAGAACTTGTCTGTTTTGTATTTTCTTTTATGCACGTTCTGTTAATCTATACTGAGATTCAAAAGGGGGAGGGTTGAGACCTACAAAAGTAAGTTTAACTCGAACACATTTCCAAATACATGTACTGGTACCTGTCCAAATTTGGGGACCTTGTAAGTAGTTGTCGTATGTCATATCTTATTTGTTTTCGTTATTTGGAGAATGTTTGTGTTTATAACAGACCTTAAGAAAAATAAGAAGATGTGGTATTATTGTCAATATTAGAAAACAATCCACCAGAGACTGAAAAACGAGGATGTAAGCAAACACCACATAGTTTTTTTTTAAATTCACATTGAACGTATAGACTCTGGGCGATTTAGATCTTGACATTTTTATAAAGGCATGTCTATTGTTGAGTATCTAAGTTGCCCTATAAGAGCCTGTCTTTTGGAGAAGGCTATATTTTGCTCTCTAGATGTCTAAGTTATGCATGTGCATGGTTGGGTTGCTATCTCATTTACTAGAAGTTCATGACTTCTGCATTTACTTATACCCCACATCTACTTTCATTCATAGAAAAAGTTTGGTCTGATGGAAATGATTACACTGATATTGAAAGGCAAAGTAATATTATTTTTGAAATATCAGAAAACCTGTTGCAGATATCAAGTGATATGTCAAAGAGAGTGCCCAACTGTTTTTGAATTTATTATTATAATTTAACTGTTGAATAAGTTTTTTTTATATCATCGGACATTTGAATGTTCTAGATGCACAATTAACATATTGGATAGAAAATAAAAGGATATGGACTCCGTAAATGTACATGGGACAAAATCGCACACAATACATAGAAAACATAGAAAATTATCAATGGACAGGGCTTTTATTCCCGTTCTTCATCTTGACAGTTGATGTAGGGTCTTCAACAATGAACGAATCATTCCAATATTTCAACATTCAAAATTTTAGTTAAATCTCTCATGCACACAAGACATGTTAGACGGGGCTATATATGTTCATGTATAAACATCCCTGAGTACAGAAGTTGACGGAGTTATACGTTAAGTGTACATTAAACTTTTAGTACTGTCAAATGATATTCAAAATCAGCATGACTGTCGGTCTACATCTTTCATTAATTGAATAGCTGACAGATGATAAAACAACGGGTGGTTGTTGTTTAAACTCACACCTTAATATGATTAAGATAAGAACACAATAAACGATACTTGTACATATCTTTTTCCTTCCAATAAATAAAATATGTATTATACATAATAAGTGTTTACGAGAAAGAAAAACAATTAAATGTTACTTTTCCCGATCCCTACAAAACTTTAATAGCAATACACAAATGCTATGCTTTGCAATTTTAATTAATTCATCATCCAACTTTTAGTACAGAATTTCAAATTCACATTGTTTCCTTTGTCATTAGGTGTGTACTGCAAATAAGCTCTTTGTAATTCATTAGCAATTTTCTAATCATGCAAAATGTGTTTAAGTTCTATCTATATATTTAAATTATCCGGATAATGTTTAAAATTTAAAAGGACTAAAATTCAATTTAACATTTTCGTCATCATGAATTTATTTTAAACAATAATTGAAAAATGATTAACATTATTATTATTTATTTTTTTTAAGTTTCGACGCTATCTTATATCAAACATTTTCCGTCTTTCCCAATATGGTATGCATAGATATCGGTTTCAGTTCTTTACAATATACGCATACATGAACTGACGTTTGATAACGAAATAATCACCATATTCAAACTTCCAGGGACACCATCAAATGTAAACTTAAAAATTTTTTTTTTGCACCTTCAGAAAGAAGAATTATACAAAAATAACATGGGACATGGCGAAATAATGTCACTGCAATAATGAATTTTATAGGATTTTTTTACTACCACTCGTCATCATTGAATTTGGTTAAGTTATGTAGGAAAAACGTATCTTTTCATGGGAAATTTTCAAATCATTAGGGACACCACTTTAAAATAACATAAAATAATTTTTTTAACATCAAAATAAAGATAAATCTAATAACTTTTTCACCTGCCATGGCAATAGTTTATGATTGTACAAATAAAATGTTGACAAATCATTTTAATGCAACTGTCATGTTTTTTCCATATACAACAATGTTAAATTTTATCAGTCCAAAAGTGCTCCGTTGTTGGTCACTGATAACGCTACCTCCGCTTAGCTGTCCCTGATTCTTGTGTATGTCTTTTAATTCTGAACCAACCAGGTTTTGCTCTTACTCCTAAATGCAGTATGCTTGGCAGAGAAACAAAACACATTTAAATTTTACAATAGTTGGTTTGATTGGCCAGAGGTCAACACACTATTTTCAATACTTGAGGTAATGCTAACACAATACCCGTTATATTAAATTGTGAAATATTTTGAATAATAAAAATCAAAACTCATTTAAAATGTATCATTCAATATGTTTTTAATAATATGCGTAATGGTCACAGCTATTCATTGAACTGCCCAAAAATGGTTGAGACCTCTGTATAAAAATCAAGATGGTCTCTGTTTATGTGTTATGTTGTAGATATTCTCTTTTCATGTGTCATGTTTTAGAAATTATCTATTCATGTGTCATGTTCTAGAAATTCTCTATTCATGTGTCATGTTTTAGAAATTCTCTATTCATGTGTCATGTTTAAGATACTTTCTGTTCATGTGTCATGTTTAAAATATAAGAATAACAGAACATTCAGTATATCAAAATTAAATAAAACAATAACATTTCAGAAATGGTGATAGAGCAGATTGTTATCCCTTGTAAAACATTGTCAACCTCGGTTAACAATGTTTTCTTGGGGTAACAATCTGCTCTATTGCTCTCCAAGCTGTGTGTTGGTTATATAGTGTTATAAAAATGGGAAAAACAAATTGTCACAGTACTTAGTACAAACACAATTATAAAAGAAAAATTCTTTAACTAGCACTAGTGGTAGAGCCAGATAAAAATAGTAATAAAAAGAGAAATTATTACACACAAATATTAAAAAGCTAAATCTAATTGCAGGTCTGTATCAGATTTAAATATATAATCCTAGTATACTGTATAAAATATAAAAAAGTGCTACTTAACTATAATTTTTTTCTACTATCTAGTTATATAAAATGTTGAAATTTGATTAAAATTTACCCAGTAGAAAATATGTACAAGTGTGTAATTAATATAAAAAACATTTTAATATGAATAGTTGTGCATCAACAATGTTAAATTGCAAAATGAAGAATTTTAATTTGCATACATTAAATACACCCGACATTATATAAAATATAATACACCCTCAAGGTACTGAATACAATAAAGTTGTAATTGTTCAACAATAAAATATTGATAGATATATAAAATCTAAATAAAAGTCAAAGATTTTAATATAAAACAATAGTTGTTTGTAAAACAAATATCACAACCATCAACCTGTCTTCTAATCAGCACAAGTAACCCAGTAGATTCAAGGGAAGTAATTCTGTCAGGACACCTCTTCAACACTAGATTCCATCTTGGATTCTGACATTTTTCTGAATTAAGAAAGATATGATTATAAAATCTGAAGATATCAATTAAAATTACTTTGATAAATATATAAAATAGCTTTATGGTTAAGCATGATATACTCACTACAAGTAAATAAAATAATTATGTTATTAATACTAATTTTCTTGGACAAAACTTGACTCAAGTAAAATACAACAGGGAAACAGCGGGAAGGCAACCCATCTACATTGCATCTTTATAATATGAAATACTTTTATACAATGAATTGCTTCGCTGAGCGCAGCTGGATATGACCGCAGAGGTCCAATCCTGAACAGTTGGGGCAAAAATGGACACAATATTCGCGCTTGATACAGGTCTGAATTTGGATTGTAATTAAATATTTGACACATAATAGGTTTCTGACAAAGAATAACTGTAGTCAAAGAACTTAGAATTGGTTATATGATTTGAATTTATATTCACTATGGTGTTGCGAATTGACCCCCCCACCCCAAAAAAAAAAAAAAATTTTCAAAGAAAAAAATTTTCTTTTTAATTTCTGTAATCTGAAATGAGAAAAAATTGTCCCCCCCTCAAAACTTCTTTTAAAAAAAAATTCTTTCCCTCAAGATATGGTCATAATCTCAATTCAAATTTCCAATGGAGTTTGCAACCATAATTCCCCATTTAAATACATTATAAAAGTCTTAAAATAGAAAATGACATACATAATCATGGCTAAAATTAATATATTAAATATTCCTTAATCAGCTTTTTTAAATAGTAACTTCTAAAAATAAATTGACAGCTAATCACCTCAAGACAATACAACATTTCTTTACACATAATTTAAAAAGCAGTGTATGGGAGGTAATCCAAACTTAACATTGTACTTGTTTATAATTGTCCATTTACCAGGAAACCCTTGTTTTTCCCCCTTTTTTGCCCCTAATTCCTTAACGGTTTGAGCCATAACCCCCCAAGCCAATCCTAACCATCCCTTTGTGGTATGGAAACTTGTGGTATAATTTCAGAGAGATCCATACACCGTTCCACAAGTTATTGTCTGGAAACTAGAAAAATGCTTATTTGGGCCCCTTTTTGGCCCCTAATTCCTAAACTGTTAGGACTATAACCCCCAAAATCAATCCCAACCTTCCTTTTGTGGTTATAAACCTTGTGTTTAAATTTCATAGATTTCTATTTACATTTACTGAAGTTATTGTCCGGAAACCAAATGTCTTTGGACGACGCTGACGACGACGGGATACCAATATACAACGGTCGTATAAAAAGGTGAAACACTGAACAAATTTATAGTCTTGCTTAATTAAGGGAGCCAGTTTTGTGTCACTAACCAAAATTCATAAATGCACAACTGTTAAAAATTATAAATGATTTTGCATTCATTAAAACAGAAATTCTTATTAAAGGGAAAATTTTGTATAGGTTCAGTAATCAGCATATTTATGTTAGCAGTGAACAAATGTCTAGCAGAAAATAATTCTTTGTTGAAAACATATCTTAGAATCCACAAAACTTAGAACCAAACTAATAACAATACTTTGTATTCATTTTTTTGTTAAATTACTCTTTCATAAAATTGGACCTTCGGTCAAATGAATGATAAAGGTTTTCTCAGATAAAAAGCAGATAAGTTAAATTTTGAACGACTTTGTGCCTTCATTTCATAATTATTCTGGTACCTTTTAACGACTTGAGCAAATGCATCCGGTGCAGAATGTGACCTGGATGTCTTCTTATGTTCACCATTGTCCTTGAATGGATTCTTAAAGGATTTCTGTCTCAAAATACTCTTCACTAAGATCTGCAAAGAAAAAATAACTAAAATCAAAACTTAATTCAACATTTTCTAAAAAAGTAAATTTACATCAATAATATTTCATGAAAACACAAAAGTGCTGACTACTGGGCTTGTGATACCCTCGGGGACTAGACTTGAACATTTACTTTATATGGCAACACATTTTCAATATAACACCCAGAAAAACTTTTCGGGTTCATATACAATTTAAGATGCAACAGCTTAAATGAGGGTCGTAATGGGGGTACTGTCATGACAAATAACAGTAAAAAAAATCTTGCCAAATGACGCTAACGGTTATTTTTGGTGAATGACAATGAAATATACATTTTCTTTATGAAGATAAAAAAAAATCGACTGAATTTGACGAATCATGTGAAAATTTTTTCAAAAAATAACGGTAACGAATAATTATTTGAGACCTCTGATGAATCACAATAAGGATATTTTGACAAATCACTATAAAATTTTAACCAATTTGATGCTAAGGATAGCTGAAAATGACCGTTTGATGTCTGACGGTAAAAGGCAGTCCTACCCTCTTAAATCTGCAAATTAAATATTTATTCCTTTTAAAAAAAATGTATGCAAATTCTTTTTGACCCAAAATAACTGAATTTTACACTACACAACAAATCTGCTGAACGGTATAAACTTTTATGTCAAAATTATTCATTTGTCCTTTTATTCATCCTTGCACTGCAAAAGCTGCGTATTTGACATGCATAAAGAGGTATAAAATATATGTAAACATAAGTTTTAATTGCATACTACACACATATTGTCTTTCTGGGTCTGTTATTGAAAATTTGTTTCTGTATTGGTTACAGGTTCAGAGATATTTTTCATGCATGCCTTAAACCCTAATTTTACAATTGTCTCTAACAGTTCTTTTTTATTCTCAATAGATTTAGCCAGTGTTATGTGAAAGGAAAACCCATCAACAATCTATATAAAAAGGTATGTGTTTCAGTTTCCTGACCAACCATTAAGTTTTTTATGAAAATTTCTACAAAAACTTTTCACCAACAGTTGTTGTAACCAATAATTCATCAACATATGTGACAGAAATGAAAACAAGAATGTGTCCATAGTACACGGATGCCCCACTCGCACTATCATTTTCTATGTTCAGTGGACCGTGAAATTGGAGTAAAAACTCTAATTTGGCATTAAAATAAGAAAGATCATATCATATGGAACATGTGTACTAAGTTTCAATATGATTGGACTTCAACTTCATCAAAAACTACCTTGACCAAAAACTTTAACCTGAAGCGGGACAGACAGACGGACGGACGCACAGACTGAAAAACATAATGCCCCTCTACTATCGTAGGTGGGGCACAAAAAGTGTGTCTATCTTTATAACATTGTTCATTGACAAATTTAAATGGTGGAAGTTCAGGTTAACAGTATGTATTATGCCGGTAGTAAACTTGGTGATGACATGCTATTTTCTGGATTAGATCTAAAAAAAAATGGTAAATTTACAACCTACAAACGTTATTTTTTTTAAAGAAAACTCTAAACGCATTTATTTTTGTGTGGCCCTAGCTTTTATTAAAAGTTGCATTTATATGAACACTTGATAGGTTTACTTACAAGAGTATCTAATTTTGGCACATGTTTAACAACATTATCTATATCTTCTTCAGTGATGGTAACCAGTGTACAGTTTTCCTCCTCTGTTGGCAGGGAACAAGTTTCTCCATTAGTTACCCATGGATTTAACTAAAATGAATATATTAAACACTTAAGAAATTCTTTTTGCCAAAAACCTCAAATAAATCATCTTTCAAATAAGCTACTTGTTGACAAATTTCAAATAAAACAAGAGACATACCTTAATTCAAATTAAACTTAAAGTGGAAATAAGAGATATGGTGGCCAGAAGATTAAATATTTTTGAGTAACATACAGTATGACCTTGAAACTTATATAATTGAATATAAATTTAAATGTTATATTTTTCCCTGAGTAACTTCTTCACAACTCCTTGCAGGAGCATAATTTGTAAAATATATTTTTATTTTGTTTACTAACCTTTATCTGAGGCAGGGTAATTCTGTTGTCTGGATTTTTATTTAACATCTTTTGTATTAAATCTGTTAGGGAATCTGTTATCTTTATACTGGGGAAAAATATATATATATTGTATATAAAGTATAAGTATGTATAAGTGGAAGTTTTTTCATGGTAAGCCGTTTTAGTTTTTTTAAAGTATTTAGAAACTTGAAAAATATATATGAATTATACATATTTTCATAAAATTTTATTTTTCTGAAATAAAAACACCTAGTTTCAATCATAAACACAAAATTTGGTATCTTCTAAATAAAAACTTTTTTAATATTAATAAACAAGGATATGTGTCCATTAGACATCATGCCCGACACGCACCATCACATTTCCATGTTCAGTGAACTGTGAAATTAGTGTCAAAACTGTAAACAGATACTGCTCCACATGTGGCACCTCTGGTGTAAATTAGTCAAGTCATTAGAGAATATACTTAATATACTTCATATCCAACTTACTTTGTAGGGAACTTGACTGGGTCCTTTAATATTTTGTTGTGAAGAGCTAATGGGAATTCATCTTTAAATGGAACCTGAAAATAAAAACGATATAAATCTTTGATATTTCATTAAAAAAACGAAAAGAAAAAAACTTTACCCATATACCAGATAATATATACTCATAGATATATATTTTCAAATTCTTTATGTGCCTGTCATAAGACAGGAGCCTGTAGTTCAGTGGTTGTCGTTGGTTCTTGTCTGCCATATTTGTTTTTCGTAAATTGTTTTGTTAAATATAGGCCATCAGTTTTGTCATTTTCTCAATAGAATTGTTTCATATTTTTCATGTCAGGGCTTTTTATAGCCGACTATACAGTATGATTTTTTTCTCATTGTTGAAGGTCGTATGTTGCCTATAATTGCTTACATCCACTTCATTTGAACTTTGGTGGATAGTTGTCTCATTGGCAATCATACCACATCTCCTGATTTTTTATATAGTTATTTCATATAAACATAAATTATCTCCCTTTATACTTACAATCATATATATTTTTAAATTCAAACAAGAATGCAAAGTAGTGGAAAACAGGAAGCAGGTGTCATACAGATCCCAAAAAAGGCTCATATATGCACCTGTCCTATGTCAGGAGCCTGTAGTTCAGTGGTTGTCGTTTGTTGGTGTGGTTCATAAGTGTTTCTCGTTCTCTTGTTTTTTATATAGATTAGAACATTGGTTTTCCTGTTTGAATTGTTTTACACTAGTCATTTTGGGGCCCTTTATAGCTTGCTGTTCGGTGTGAGCCAAGGCTCCGTGTTGAAGGCCGTACATTGACCTATAATTGTTTACTTTTTACACATTGTGACATGGATGGAGAGTTGTCTCATTGGCCCTCATACCACATCTTCTTATTTATATCATAGTACAGAGCTCGACAATAACGCTTGTCCGATTGTCCAGTACCAGAGGAAAAAAAGGTCGGACAAGTAAAAGCTATATCAAGCTTGTCCCATGGGACAAGTAAAATTATTCTGCATAAAAACATGTAAAATAAATTTAATCCAACTTTGATGAACAAAGTAATTATAAACAAAAAACAAGAAAAGAAGATAAAAACAAGTATTAGTTTGACATGTTTACTTGCAATCGATAATTTAAAACTGGTTCTTTGTCAGGTACTTTTTAATAGGTAAAAGGCATACTATTATCGGAAACCATTCCTACTGATCCGAATCAGCGATGATGCGCTTTGTAGATAGATAACTTTACAAGACAGTTCGTCACCAGCTTGGAAACGATTCGGCTCCAAGTTTAATAGACAGTTTGGCACCGTAGGAGACATATTTAATAGACATGATAAATAGACAGTTTGGCAACGCAGGAGAAATTTCGGGACCAAGACAAATTAGTACCTCGTTTTCCTATCTTGATTCTGTTGCTTTATAATAAATACCAAACCATTAATTTTTTTAACAAAAATATTTTTTAAATAAAAATGAAGAAATCATTTACCATAAAATTCACAAAATCATGTTTGATCATATGTAGAAAAAAAACAATACTTGCAATACGGTGTTAATTTCTGTGTCATTTGGTCTCTAGCAGAGAGTTGTCTCATTGGCAATCAAACCTCATCTTCTTTTTTTATTGATTGCATTTGAATAAACTTTTTTCAACTTAAAAAAAAACAGGATACAAATCCAATGAGTGTACATTGACAGGCCTATCAGACGGTGCCTAATGTGGCATTGATGAACACTAGAACCTTAAAGTCCTGTGACATGGCTAGATTCAGTTGTTCTCGACTCATATTTTTGAAAAGTATATCAAAAGATATAAAACTAACTTCTGTTATATTGTTTTAATTTATTTTGTTCCTTGAATCAACTTAAAATGTAAAAAAGGTTATTATAAAGATTTTTTTTGGACAAGTTACAATTTCATTCGGACAAGTAAATTTTGGTATGTACTTGTCCTACTGGACAAGTTGAAAAAAAAGTTATTGTAGAGGCCTGTAGTAATAAAGCAACATTGTCAGGCTGCTGACCAAATATGAAGTCATAAATATTGTGTTCAGCATAGCTCTTTTCAAAATTGCTTTAAGTAAATTAGTAATTTTAGACAATCCTCTCTTAAACATTAAAATCAAACAGAAAATGAAATTATTTCTTTTCAGTTAAAATCATACTGCATATATTAACAAATATTTCTACTCTTGGTATGTTTTGATTTTTGTGTATTCTAGCTTACCTGTCCAAACACAAAACAGTACAATGTGACACCCATGGCCCATATGTCTAGTGCCTGAAATATATAATCATAAACTTCATGTAATTCTTGTAGTTAATTTTGTACTAGATTTCATTAAATGGGAGTACCATTAGATCAGTATTTTGTAATGTAAGTCTTTTTGTTAGTTGTTTTTGTGCTTATTTTTATTTTTAACTTAATCAAAATCATCCTTAATCTTTTTTTTTTAAAAAGCCATATACATCTTGTAAATATCATGAAAGAGTCACCATTGCAATAATACTATTCTATCGAGATTTTACAGACTCTGAAAAGGAGATATGGAGTTAATAACAATGAAAATTAAATCAGAAACAAAAGTCTGTCAAATTAAGACAAAAGTCAACATATTGTCTTTAACAATAGGCAATCACTCACACCATATGAAGATATCTAAATAACCCTGGAGTCTAGAAAAGTTGACAAAAGACAACAAAATATTTGACAACCTAAACCAAATTTTCAAAAGATAAAATTTATGAAGACAGCAACAACTATGGATTTCAAACAATTTTCAGCATACTTCTATTTTTACCCTATTCAAACCTTATATAAGTATCCTGGGTTTTGATAGTTAGTGTTATTTTCTTTATATTTTCTTTATTCAGGCAATTTTTTTTTCAAATTCAATCATTCTAGAGGTATATGCAATGATATCTCTGTTTAACCATCTCTGTCATGGTATTTGCCAAATCATATATGCTTCTTTTACCCTTCATATAGATGATTCATCATATGTGCATTTTACCAAATTCGGATGTTAAGCTAACGTCTTGATAGCAAAAGAATAATGAAATTAACTTCCAACCGTTTACACATTTTGTATATTTACTATCTTTATATGATGTGCACTTAAACAGATATAGCATGGTTAGGAAGGATATACATGTGAGAAATACCAGTCTTAAAAAAAAATATCCTTTGCCTAGCAGCTCAGGAAACATTACCTTCTCTCAACTAGTATTTATCACAAATATCCCTCCTAGTCTTTTGTAGACAAAACACACGTCTGGGGATCAAAACTATAAGCCTGGTATCTCTGATGAGTTTTTTCTAAACATTATATATCTGTTCAGTTTATAACATTTTTTGTTTGAAAGTTGGTTCACTGCTTATATAAAACAACTAGTATCTACTCCTCTCAATAAGACCCCACAACTGTGAATCTGAATCTGAATCTGAATCTGAATCCAATGGTACTGTTCAATTCAAAACTGCATCCAAACATTAAACCTACCTTTCCACTAAAGTTTTCTTTCTCCTCTGAAAATATAAAAAAAGACTATTTAAAGTACATTTCTTAAATCAAAGGAAAAAGTTTTTTTTAGTTTTTTTGTAATATGTTCTTACTCTTTAAAACACATAAACTCAAGCTAAGTTTCATTGCATTATTATTTTTAAAATAAATCGGACCCCTCTGTTGACCTCTTGATGTCTTTTTTGTTGTTTTTTTTTTTGTATTGTTTGGTTACTGTCTCACTGATGTATATCCAACATTTCCTTTTACACATATATATGGAATATGCTTACTTTATTAGTATTTCAGAAATATTTCAAAATATGCAGATAAAACAAATACCTCGTAAAGTTTCTGGGGCCATAAAGGCTGGAGTACCTGCAGTGTTACTGAGTGATATATCAGTTCCTGTGAACTCATTACTCACACCAAAATCTGCTATCTGAAAGTCCAGGAAAGAATAATGAACATGTTTATTAGATGCATTTATTGCAACTAGTTTCAACTGTTTTATTTATTTTTAAAGAATGGATAGTAAATTGAATACATAATTTATATTCAAATAAAACATCCACTCTCTGATAGTAAATTGAATACATAATTTAATTTTCAAATAAAACATCCACTCTCGGATAGTAAATTGAATACATAATTTTATTTTCAAATAAAACATCCACTCTCATCTATCTGGGTAATATGAGTATTTTGACTTGGATGGAGAGTTGTCTCATTGGCACTCATACCACATCTTCTTATATCTATATAGTACCCGACTAACATACTGTAAATTCAGAAATTATTGAAAGGTTTTCATTAATGTGATTAATGCCACTGGGTGAGTATCGCAATAATAAGATCTCGCATTTTGTTATCTGATAAATAATATCTGTATGCAGCATTTCCAGAAATTAATCTCACATTTTTGTCCATTTCTAAAAATTCACATTAATAAATGCACGCAATAATTTCTGAATTTACAGTAGTAGGACCAAAAATTTAAGTGACAGTCATTGGTTTTAGTTTTGTTTCACTAGATAGAATGTTCAGCAGTTTAATGTGTAATCTTTTTGTCATGTTATGAATCAAACTAGTTTTGTCTTTTTCATATGTTTTATTATTATCACCATGGTAATCTTTCAAAATAATTTAAAAACGTCTAATTTTGCATAAACATGTGTTGTTTCCACACGTTACATATATTAATTTACTATTTGAAGTTTCTGTGAATCCATGTACAAACCTTTAAGAAAAGATGTTGATACAAAACAAGGGTAGTAAATTTACTTATTCAACAAGGGAGATAATAAGATTAGATTCCCATAAATCCATGCTTCAAGTTTGTTTGTATCTCAACCATAATTTTTACCCTAAATCAGAAAAAAGAAATAAAAATTCCCCTCCTTTAATTTACAACTCACATACCTTAAGATGACCATCATCTCCTAATAACAGATTTGAAGGCTTAATATCTCGATGAATGATTTTTTGATGATGCACTGAAACAAATCAAATACAGATTAACATCTATTTTCAAAGTTAGCCTTGTAATTATATTTTTTAAATTACAATGTTCACATACTGGAAAATATGAATCTGTATACCATATAAGAGAGCCTTAAGTCATTCAGGATTTAGTTAGATCATATTTAATCTAAAATAATATGTTCATCAAAGAAATTTATTACAGTATTTGTTTTAATCAAAATAATCTTGCTATAAAAACATGTGATATATAAACTTACCCCAAAAAATCTTTAATAATAAATTTTGAAATAAAGGCTGGCAGAAATTCCATATTGATAATGTTTTAGTTGCTGAAAAATGTTATATAAACTTCTTAGATATCCTAAAGTGGGCGTTTCTCATTCTTTACACAACAGGGTGCATGCATTACTACATTTTTTCTTAACTTCACATAAATATTTCTAAGATTGAGTGTAATCACACAATGAAGAGATTTAAAATTACTTTTCCATACCTGCCAACTTTTCAATATCTCTATGGGGGATTTTAAGCACAAAAGGGTGCTCCTCTTTTATTGTCATATGGGTTTTTAATCTACCACTATATTGTTTGAATGAGTATGTAGGTACTCCAATGCCCTTTTAACTCATTTAAATGTCTGTTTTGAGGAGTTTAGTTTATATAATAAAGAATTTCAAAATTTAGGTAAACATCGCTCATGGGGGATATCCCCCATAAATCAGGATAGTCGGCAGGTCTGCTTTTCTATTAATAAATTCATCTGGAATTTTTTTTCTATAATGTACAGAGTCAAGTGGGTTAATTCTAAGGCAAACAAACTTACAATATTCTATTCCTAAAATGACATCCCTGAAGTACGACCAAGCTTGGTCTTCTGATAAAGGCTTATCTGTAGGTACCTCCATAACCTCTCTGTAAATAAACAACAAATTATATTATGTGGGCACTGGGAAGGTTCCCTCCATAGGTCACAAGGTCAAGTTTAAAAGTAATGACTTTTAAGAAATACAGATTCCACCACTGCATCAAGTGTGTTACGATATTTCTCCACTAAAGACAGTTAAATTTTAATATTTAAAGCGCCAGGCTTGCAGAGCTTTTTAATAATTAATATTTAACTATTGTGAGTGGAGAAATATCCTAGTACATGAGTTATAGTGGTGGCATCTGTTTCTCTAATGATTTTTAGACAATTTCTAAACAAAGTTTATCCTTCAATTTCAAAGATTTGCATAAAAACGTGTTCTTCATATGTGACGTCATCAGGCATGGTCGCCTTTTTTCATGATACCACAATAGGAAATTCAGAAAAAACCAAGGAAATTTTATGTCATAATTAAATTTTGACCAATCATTTGCAGAGAACAAAGTTTTCTCTAGAGATGAGAAATCTTTTTCTCTCACCGAAATGTGTGAAAAACATGAAAATCAGAGATAATCTATTGTAAAGTACTGTTTATATATTTCATAGAATTTTTCATGAAAAACAACTTTCTATAGATTTTGATGACTGAGTTATATTCCTATAGTATGTGATACATGTAGGTTCTCATTTATCACAATATTTTTATAACATTCAACATTAATTATTTCAATCATCTGGCTGTCAACTCTCAATCTAAAAGTGCAAAAACTTTGGTGGATAGTTGTCTCATTGGCAATCATACTACATCTCCTTATTTTTAAAAGGATACACAACTTGATTTTTCTTCTCTTTTTTTTTTAGACCATTTTTGTATATATTTTTTTGATACAATACATGTATTTGTCTTTGAATTACATTGGCCTTTATCAAATTTATAAATTCCAGATAAATTCCTGGAATTTATACTGCCAATCTAAATACAACTTACCCCTTCTCTACCAATTCAAAGGCTGAAAAAACAAAAATAAATGTTGTTTAATATAAACAATGCACAATTGTTCATTTTTTATTGTTGTGGGTTGTTAGTTCAATAAGTTGTACATAAACATTTACCCTATATCAACTATTATTAATGCAGTCTTTCATCTGTTAAACACATTTATTTTATGTACTGTTATTTCAGAAACTGCTGTGTGCCCATATTCATGTGTCTGTTGATCAACAGAAATAAAATTGAAATAAGTTAATAAAATTTCAAGAAATATTACGAAGAAACAATCAAAATATGAGGTCTAATCAATGTGACATTTTTTTCAGTTGACATTTTGACAAAAAAAATAAAATGCTTCGCTGGGGCGCAGCTTGATACGACCGCAGAGGTCGAACCCTGAACAGTTGGGGCAAGTATGGACACAACATTCAAGCTTGATACAGCTCTGAATTTGGATTGTTATTAAATATTTGACACAGCATAGGTTTCTGACACAGAAAGAATGTGGTCTAAGAACTTGAATTTTTTTAATTTACCTATTATGGTCCAATGTCCAAAATCAAAATACATGGTTAGATTCAGCATATCAAAGAACACCATATATTCAATTTTTGTTAAAATCAAACAAAGTTTAATTTTGGACCCCAACTTGGACAAACTTGAAAACTGGGCCCATAATCAAAAATCTAAACACATGTTTAGATTCAGCATATCAAAGAACCCCAAGAATTCAATTTTTGCTAAAATCAAACTAAGTTTAATTTTGGACCCTTTTGACCTCAATATGAACCAATTTGATAGCGGGGCCCACAAATAAAAATTCTAAATTCATGGTTAGATTCAGCATATCAAAGAACCCCATATATTCAATTTTTGTTGAAATCAAAAAAAGTTTAATTTTGGACCCCAACTTGGATCAACTTGAAAACTGGGCCCATAATCAAAAATCTAAATACATGTTTAGATTCAGCATATCAAAGAACCCCAAGAATTCAATTTTTGTTAAAATCAAACTAGTTTAATTTTGGACCCTTTGGACCTCAATGAAGACCAATTTAAAAAAGGGACCCAAATTAAAAATCTAAAAACACGGTTAGATTTGGCATATCAAAGAACCCCAATAATTCAATTTTCGATGAAATCAAACAAAGTTTAATTTTGGACCCTTTTGACCTCAATATGAACCAATTTGATAGTGGGGCCTACAAATAAAAAATCTAAATACATGGTTAGATTCAGCATATCAAAGAACATCATATATTCAATTTTTGTTGAAATCATACAAAGTTTAATTTTGGACCCCAATTTGGACCAACTTGAAAACTGGGCCCATAATCAAAAATCTAAATACATGTTTAGATTCAGCATATCAAAGAACCCCATATATTCAATTTTTGTTGAAATCAAACAAAGTTTAAATACTGGACCCTATCTTGGACCAACTTGAAAACTGGGCCCATAATAAATCTAAACACATGTTTAGATTCAGCAAATCAAAGAACCCCAAGAATTCAATTTTTGTTAAAATCAAACTAAGTTTAATTTTGGACCCTTTGGACCTCAATGTAGACCAATTTAAAAAACAGGACCCAAAATTAAGAACCTAAATACACGGTTAGATTTGGAATATCAAAGAACCCCAATAATTCAATTTTAGATGAAATCAAACAAAGTTTAATTTTGGACCCTTTTGACCTCAATATGAACCAATTAGATAACGGGGTCCACAAATAAAAAATCTAAATACATGGTTAGATTCAGCATATCAAAGAACCCATATATTCAATTTTTGTTGAAATCAAACAAAGTTTAATTTTGGACCCCAATTTGGACCAACTTGAAAAATGGGCCAAAAATCAAAAATCTAAATACATGTTTAGATTCAGCATATCAAAGAACCTCATATATTCAATTTTTGCTAAAATCAAACAAAGTTTAATTTTGGACCCTTTGGACATTAATGTAGACCAATTTGAAAACTGGACCCAAAATTAAAAATCTAAATACACTGTTAGATTCGGCATAACAAATAAATAAATGTGATCAAAGATTTTACAAATCTAATGCGCCATACTGTGCAATTAAAGATTACTTCTTGAAATTTTTCAATATTTGAAATTTGAAAAAAAAATAATATTTGAAGAATAATTCTTTTTAATTTCTGAAATCTGAAATGAGAAAAAATTGGCCCCCCACAATTTCTTTTTATCCCCCCCCCCCCCCCTTTTTCCCCAAAAAAAATTCTTTCCCTCAAGATATGGTCATAATCTCAATTCAAATTTCCAATGGATTTGGCAACCATAATTACCCATTTAAATTTACCATAGTGCTAACTTAATCTATTTTATAATAGAATTAATAAAAATATAGTGTCAAATCTTTCATATGGATTTTTTTGTAAAAAAAAAAGATGAAAACATTTACAGATATTTTTACTGGTCTTCCTTTATAAATATGCATTTCTTTAAACATAATTTAAAAGCAGAGTAAGGGAAGTAACCAAAACGTTGTATTTGGATTACCTCCCTTACACTGTTTTAGATTATCTTTATTGTTCATTAACCATTACTTTATACATAATTTAAAAGCAGTGTAAGGGAGATAATTTCAATGATGTATTTGATTTATCTCCCTTACACTGCTTTAAATTATGTTTTGTACTAAAGTATTTGTCCATTAACCAGGACAACCTTGTTTTTCCCCCTTTTTTGCCCCTAATTCCTAAACGGTTTGAGCCATAACCCCCCAAAGCAAATCCTAACCATCCCTTTGTGGTATGGAAACTTGTAGTATAATTTCAGAGAGATCCATACACCGTTCCACAGTTATTGTCTGGAAACTAGAAAATGCTCATTTTTGGCCCCTTTTTGGCCCCTAATTCCTTAACTGTTGGTACCATAACCCCCAAAATCAATCCCAACCTTCCTTTTGTGGTATTTAACCTTATGGTCAAATTTCAAAAAGATCCATTCACTTAAACTAAAGTTAGAGTGCGAAAACCAATATGTATTCGGACGACGACGACGACGACGACGCCAACGTCATACCAATATACGACCACAAAATTTTTTTGCGGTCGTATAAAAATCTCATTAGTCATATTTAGTCTTTCAGTCTATTTTCATGTTCTCCAAATCTGGCAACTGCCTCGGTGGTCTCCTGGTAGCTTGTTCACCTCGAGTGTGGAAGGTAGTGGGTGTGATCCTCAGTATGGTCAAACTAAAGACTGTAAAATTGTTATAGCTAAGCAGGCAGCATTAATGAGAAAGTGCAAAGACTGGTCGGATCAGAGTTATGATAATGTGTCTGGATACAGTGACATGTCTTCCTGCAGACTATTACCTTGTGAACTAGTACGATAAAAATCTGGCTCAGCATGTCAACATATATTTGATCAGCCTAATAGAATTAGTTCCCCTGGAAACTATGTTAAAAATAATGCCATAATATATGTTCCTGCTGGAACAAATATTCTATAACCTTTATTTCGTAAGGAACAATTTTCTGTAATATTTCTTCCATTTGGAAATTATATTATGAAGGAACTTCTATTTCATGACAGGTCTAGAAAAAGCAGGGCTCCTACTCATATTTCACTAATATGTTCGTGTCCTAAATAGGCAATTAATTTGACACTGGATTTTTAACAGCAATCCATCCATACATCCAAATGTGGTTAATTCAGTTCTATTAAGACAAATCACTAAGCTTGCAGTCAATTAAAATCTGTTCAGTCACTTTTCATGCAATTCAGAATATCATCAATCATCTGAACAAAAACTTGTAAGACTTATCTACATTCAAACATTTCAGGTTGTGTAAAAAACAAAATTACTGTGCCAGTCTTCAATTCATTTACATGTACTAGGTATAGAGTATAAAGGGGCTTAATGCCATTTTACCCAGGTATTTGCTATTCAAAATCCTACTATAAACTATAATGAATGCCATACAAGTTCTCCAATACCACTTTGAACTCTATGGAATGAAAACTAAGTATATAATATATTATCTTTAAAATATAGTCTTCCAAGGAAGTCTGTGTTGCTTGCCATCTCAAAACAATATAAGTAAAATGGCAATGTCCATGTTTTCATATAAAAAAAAAATGAAATAAATCAGATCAAAAATCAAAACTGCATATGATGTGCCAATTTTCATGTCCTGTAGCTCAATCTTAACAGTGCAAGTTTGTTGGAAATCTGTCTGTCTGTTTTTTAGGAGTTGCAAATTTAGAAAAGTCACACAGACCAAATCACAAGACAACAGATGTGATTCCTATGTGCTGCTATATCTACACTGACTCAAACTTACCCATATATAAATTATCTTTATCAGGATCATCTAAAACTTCCACCAATCTGACAACATTGGGGTGATCCAACTTCTTCAGAATGGCTATCTCACGGTAAACTTTCTCTAGAGGTGTCACAGGTTTATTTACAGGTTTTCCATCTCTTGATGGAGGGGGGCGTCCTACAATGTTTATAAAATGTACTCTAAATAAAATCCCTGAACTTTGAACTTTTCATATGATTGTGATACTGAATCTATATGATAAGAACTTGTAATTAAACTGTATAAAATGACATTATATTCAAATGAGTAGAATAATGGAAATTCAACTATTTGTTGATGGACTCACAGAAATGTCATTGGATTGACAAAATTAATGTGATAACTAATCTGACTACAATAATCTCCCCAAAGGTTCTTGTGGCATAGACCTCTCCCCTCTTTTTTTTAAATCATTTTAGTAAAATGTTCTTGTTCTTATGCATGATATTTTTATTTTACTAAAAAATAAATTGCTTCGCCGAGCGCAGCTGGATACACCCGCAGAGGTCCAACCCTGAACAGTTGGGGCAAAAATGGACACAATATTTGAGCTTGATACAGGTCTGAATTTGGATTGAAATTAAATGTTTGACACATAATAGGTTTCTGACACAGAATAACTGTAGTCGAAGAACTTTTGTGCAATACACTATGCTGTTGCGAATTGACCCCCCCCCAAAAAAAAAAAATGTTTTCACCACCCCCCTTTTTTTCCCCCACAAAATCTTTTAACCCCCTGCCCCCCATTTTTTTTTCATCTCCCCCTTCCCTTTTTTCCAAAAAAAAAATTTTTCCCTCAAGATATGGTCATTATCTCAATTCAAATTTCCAATGGAGTTTGCAACCATAATTACCCATTTAAATACAATATATCTTTAATCAGCATTTTTATTAGTAACTTCTAAAAATAAATTGACAGCTAATCACCTCAAGACAATACAAAATTTCTTTATACCGTAGAAAGGCTTGTATAGTTCGCAGTTGTACATAGTCCGCACCCCCTTCTCCCCACGAAATTTTAGGTAAAAAAACTTTTTGTAACTGTTAGAAAAGGTCTAATGAAACTCCGGTAATTTCAAATCCTGTGCGGTCCTTTTGCAGAATTTTCTTGGAAGAACCTGTTTTCCATCATCAAACAGAAGCTGAAACTGCTTGTAAATGATTCTAGAACGCTTCATGATTGTTAAAATAAGTTTAATTCACTTAAAAAACAATTTAGAAACTTGTGTATGTTTAAACAGGAAGTTTAAAAAGCATGTGTAAAAGAAGAAATTAACCGGTGAGAGTCGAAATCCGTACATAACAGATATCACTATAATACGACTTTGAAAGTAAAACAGTTCCATCCTTTTGTAAAACAGTCTTTAATATATCTATCACATTAATGTTTGAAGGGTCTTAAGCTAATACAAACCATATTAGTCAGTATGAAACACCAAAACGGAACGAACAATAACCGATTACGTTTTGTAGTTTACAAATTCTAAGCTGATTTACGGTTGTCTTTTTCACTATGTTTGTATCGTTTCAATCAAGCAGATACCAGTTTATTTCAACCAATGCATTGAAAAGAAACATGAAATTTGTAATGAAAGGTTTAGTTTTTATATTTTTCAGTATTAATTTGATATTGAATAGAAATAACTTATTAATATGGATGAGTTAAAGTTATTCGTTTAAAAAATGATAAGAGCGCCCTCTACAATAGAAATAACAAAGATGGCAGAACGTAAACAAACCACCTCGCCCGCGAAATTGAAATTTTTCTCTTATTTCTTGCTTATTGTACTCTATAGTCCGCACCCCTTCTGGAAGGTCCAATTTTGGAGAATAAAACCGCGGACTATACAAGCCTTTCTACGGTAGTTAATTTTTAAGCAGTGTAAGGGAGGTAATCCAAATTTAATATTGTACTTAAAAGTGATTGTCCATTTACAAGGAAACCCTTTTTTTCCCCCTTTTTTGCCCCTAATTCCTAAACGGTTTGAGCCATTACCCCCCAAAGCCAATTCTAACCATCCCTTTGTGGTATGGAAACTTGTTTTACAATTTCAGAGAGATCCATACAGTGTTCCTAAAGTTATTGTCTGAAAACTAGAAAAATGCTTATTTGGGCCCCTTTTTTGGCCCCTAATTCCTAAACTGTTAGGACCATAACCCCAAAATCAATCCCAACCTTCCTTTTGTGGTTATAAACCTTGTGTTCAAATTTCATAGATTTCTATTACCTAATACTAAAGTTATTGTCCGGAAACCAAGTGTCTTCGGACGATGACGTCGTCGTGATACCAATATATGAATTTTTGCGGTCGTATAAAAATTTAAAAAAAAAAGGGGGGGTGTCAATGCCCCAGAGTTTCCCCCTTATATATCCCTGCATCAGTTTTCATCTATTGATGTCACATCATATAAGAGTTCCTTTGTACATATTTGTGCCTTGAAACTAAATGAGAACATCTTAACATGAAACAAATATTCATGAAATTATACACCTTTAGAGATAACTTACGGTAGAATCCAGCTTTCTTTATCAATCGTTTTTTGGAAAGTATTTTCATTGCCTGTAAAAAGATAAAAAAAAAAACCAACAAATTATTGTATGCATTTTGTGTTTTTAGTCTGTTAGAAAATCATCATGTGTCTGCACATGCACTATAGAGGCCAATGTTTGAATAGTGCCACATTCTATTAAATGTAGTTAAAATCAGCTTTCAAATATGAGGCATTGAAACCATGATATAGTGTCAATGTAATGTGAAGGTATCTGGATACAACTGCCATTTAAAAAAAACTTTAACAAATATTCATGTTGAAGAACCCACTTGTCATGCTTGTGGGAAAATTAGAAAACAAGTGTTTTTCTTTATTGTAACATGTTTTCTGCTTTTGTTTCAATCTGCATCAATAATTGACATCACAAAAAAAATCCATGATGTCTACACATCATCAAAGGATTTATAATGGACAAACATTTTCATAATTTTCAAAAGTTGATTTTATTACATCCCAAAGTTATGGAGTACATTGATACACAGGTATAATACTATTAAGCATTGCCATTATTTTAATCAATAACTCAACATTATAATGTAAAAGACATAACAATTATTGCTTTGTTGAAATCTGTTTAATGGGCTTGTCTGTTCTACTGAAATTTCTCTTTTATCCACCTTAATGTTCTGTTGAAATCTTTCTTTTTTTATTTAACTGAAATCTGTCTTTTATCTACCTGAATGTAATGTTGATGATACTGTATTTATCAATCTCATTAAACAAGAAATATAGGATTACTTAATGTGTTAATCATTGCCGTTTCATGCAACAGAATCAATATACAATTATTTATAGTTTGAGAGCAATATTTTTATATATTGTCATCTCATATTTACAGTGAAATCGAAATCTTTTTTTTTATGGCAACTTTCAAATTTATGTAACTCTTTATACTCTTTCATTAATAAATATTATGATTTTATTAAAAAAAAAGAAAAACAATTTCTAGGGGTCTGAGGTTTTGCTATAGAAATGCATATTGCTCATTGTTGAACACCTTACCATGTCCTGCTTATCGCTATAACTCACGTCCTTTGTCCTCTGGTAGATACCAGTAGTTGTCTCATAGAAAATTGTCAGATATTAAGGATTATGCATGGAAAAAACACTTGTATGTAAATAGAAAGAAAAAAAAAAATTAGATAGACTTTTTAACTAAAATGAGAAGATAGCTATTATAATATTCTTTCAGAAAATAACCTTTTCAAGATTAATTTATTTTGATATTCTAACCTTTGATGAAGGCCAAAATTGTTGATTTGATAATTCTGCTTTCTCATAGAACTGTTGGATAGGAATGGATTTTAAAAATTCTTCTGAATCCTCCCTTATAATATTGTGGGTTCATTTGTTTGACTATTGTTAAATAATCTAATTTTGGATGTAACACGTCTTCTGATTGGCTGTAAATTTTTTTTTTGTCTATCAGCTCATAGACATAATTCTGTCATGTGACTGTGACATCATTAACATTTTTTCATGGTTTCACTCCTTAAAAATGGAATTTAGAATTAAATTATAAGGAATGACATTAATATTTTTCTGTCTATTAGAAATTACCTGAAACATGTGATGCACACTTTTAAATAAGGAGTAATGCACAACATTTTTGATGTTATTTCTTCATAGACAGAAAAAGAATTACAGTCATTCCTCAAATACTATCAGCAACAATTAAGTTGGCCTTGTTCACAAATCCCTTCTTATTCAAATTTCTACAGAAATTTAAACTTAATGTGAATTTGTTTTTTTATAAAGGTCATTACAACTAACATTTAGAGTTGACATTGACATTTACTGATATAAAATTCAAAATAACCTAGTTTTATGACTGTAAGTTAAAAAGTGCTGAAGAAATAAATCAGACTTAATAAAATCATTGCATTGTAGCAGTAATACTTGATCATAACATGAACGGTCAACAAATCAAAATTGAGTGAAATAATAAAACAGAAATTGTTCCAAGTAATACTAATTGTTTCCAGGAATTTACAGTTGCTAGGTACTTTTCCAATGATACATAAAACGAATAACAGGAACTATAAAAATTATTGGACAAACAACATTGAACTACACATGGTCCAGATACTGACAGCCTGACTTAGTACTGGTATAAGATGTATTGTGGGTAAAACCAGTTTTACATGTGTTTAAACCTAAGCAAGTCCTACAGAAAAATGATAAATTTGATCCAAAAAATAATTTTGAAGCAATATAACATGTATATATATATATATTACACTTAAAGACAAGGTTTAGGTCAAACAAGTCCAATATTTCAATACAAACATTTCGTTCAAATAAATTAGTCATGAAGATAAATATACACAAATTAAAACCCATTTGCACAAAAGACAAAACTAAAAGCAGAAAAATATTAGAAAAATTTTCAAAAAATCAATAAGAAACGTGGGCCTTAGTTCCGAATACAACAGAGTATATTGTGTTTATTTCTCGGTATATAAGTTGAGTGGGTAAAAACTACATTTCTTTGTTCATTTCTATTTTAAGTGCAGTGTTAAAACCATAGTTTTTTTTTCTCAGTGTTTGTACAAAATTTATATAATGAGACTGCTTGAATTTGACTTGAAGGTTAATTCCAAGCCAATAATTCTTAAAAAAGAAGACTATATTATAACATTATGTTAACAGAAGAATCTAAGTGCTAAATTTTTAACCTAACCTTTTTTTTTTAAGAAAACAAAAAACTGTGTTATTTGCAAAATTGAGAGAACAGCAAAAATTTGAAAACATAAAAAATAAGAGGATTAAAGCTGTTAAAAATTTTGCTACAAAATAGAAATTATCAAATTATCAAAAGTGTTGCTATTGTGAAGGTTCCATACATATGACAAATAAAATTTTCAGTTTCATGTTTTGCAGTGGGTTTCAACGGAGTTACATCTGATAAACACTTAAATTTCAATGAAAAATAATTTTACAGTTCGGTTTTGCTATTGATATTTGGTCCCAGGTACTCATAGAGGTAATTAACTGTTATCAGTACCAGGTACTCATAGAGGTAATTAACAGTCAGTCCCAGGTACTCATAGAGGTAATTAACTGTTATCAGTACCAGGTACTCATGGAGGTAATTAACAGTCAGTCCCAGATACTCATAGAGGTAATTAACTATTATCAGTACCAGGTACTCATAGAGGTAATTAACAGTCAGTCCCAGGTACTCATAGAGGTAATTAACTGTTATCAGTACCAGGTACTCATAGAGGTAATTAACTGTTATCAGTACCAGGTACTCATAGAGGTAATTAACTGTTATCAGTACCTGGTACTCATAGAGGTAATTAACTGTTATCAGTACCAGGTCTTCATATAGGTAATTAACAGTCAGTCCCAAGTACTCATAGAAGTAACTAACTATCAGTCCCAGGTACTCATAGAGGTAATTAACTGTTATCAGTACCAGGTACTCATAGAGGTAATTAACTGTTATCAGTACCAGGTACTCATAGAGGTAATTAACTGTTATCAGTACCAGGTCTTCATATAGGTAATTAACAGTCAGTCCCAGGTACTCATAGAAGTAACTAACTGTCAGTCCCAGGTACTCATAGAGGTAATTAACTGTTATCAGTACCAGGTACTCATAGAGGTAATTAACTGTTATCAGTACCAGGTACTCATAGAGGTAATTAACTGTTATCAGTACCAGGTACTCATAGAGGTAATTAACTGTCAGTCCCAGGTATTCATAGAGGTAATTAACAGTCAGTCCCAGGTACTCATAGAAGTAACTAACTGTCAGTCCCAGGTACTCATAGAGGTAATTAACTGTTATCAGTACCAGGTACTCATAGAGGTAATTAACAGTCAGTCCCAGGTATTCATAGAGGTAATTAACTGTCAGTCCCAGGTACTCATAGAGGTAATTAGCTGTTATACTTTTAGTTGAATAAATTTTAAGGATGTTTGTGTCTGAAACGTACAAAACAGTACATATACAAGTTTATGAATCCATTATCATATGAATGCCTGTCTCCAAATGCAAAGTATTTCCTCATATCTAAATGTTTATTTTTTCTTGTATGTTGTATTCAGGTAATCTTGACCTTTGACATTAAAATTTAAAAATATTTTTCACAGTCTAAGAATGATAAAGAAGTCTATTATTTAGCTTATTCAGTGAATCTTCTACCATTGGTTATATTGTGACCTTGACTTTTAACCTTTCAATAATATAGAAAAAGGATTAATATCTCTTCATGATCAAGGCTAAGCATTGAATGATGTTTCGTGAATTTAAGATACAAGATTGGAACTCCAGTGTTAATATGCTGTTATCTCCAAAGTCATGACAAGACCAATGATTGTGATTTTGAAGAGACAGGATACCTATTCTGTCTTCAAACTTTAATCTCCTATGTCATATTGTGATCTTGACCTTTCCACTTTTGACTTTGGAATTAATTGAGGACTCCCTATAGTCATACTATCTAACTGCTTCCTAAAGCAGTGGATTGCACAGACAGTTTGATGGAAAACATTAAACATAAAAACCAATTTTTTGGCCTCTTAGGTTCCAGACAAAACAGCATTATTATAAAAGGCATCATTATACTGCAGAATTTACTATGCCTGTTTACATAAAACATCAAACATGCAATTAAGATCATGAAGATAAGAATATGACACTGATAATGTTTATGTGCAGATATAATATTGCAATGTTTTTAAGCTCAGTCAATGTTCTGTATGCAACATAACTTTATTGCAAACCTAAATGGTAATATTATTCCTTTTAAATATTATCTAGATGCTATTAAAATGGGCTTGCCATCTGAGGTTCTTCTTTAAGGAGCTATAAATCCTTTTATGTATTACTATGACAGTTAATTAGGACATTTTTTTTAAACTATATAATACTTTTTTGAGTCCAAGAGAATTTTATTTAATTGGTGCAATGTACCACTGTTTGCATTTGGTGCTTTAACTATACATGTTATTGGCTTTGAACTAGCTGTCAGTAACTGTGAGTACTCTCAGATCTGTACTTAGTGTCCTTTTTGTTGTTAGGTGTACTTTATTTTATTTGGTTGTCCAAGGTTACGGTTGTCTTTCTTATATTGTTTTACATCTAACCCCCTTGTTTTATTAATTTTGTGATTACATTGTGTCATAGATCAAATTTATTCGTTCAGTGTATGTTCACTTGTTTTTGTTTATATGTCTTTTGATTGAGTTAAGCCATTTCAATTGATATTTTATAGTGTGTCTTTCTATGTTGTGATGTTACACTATTGTTTCAGGTAGGGTGAAGGTTGGCTCCTATTAAAACGTTTAAAGCCAAGGCTCCGTGTTGAAGGCCATACTTTGACCTACAATGGTTTACTTTTACAAATTGTGACTTGGATGGAGAGTTGTCTCATTGGCACTCATACCACATCTTCTTATATCTATATATGAGGGATACCCTGCCACGTCCAATCAGTGTTTATGTTTGATGTTTTTCTGCTTTGAATCGATCTGATGCATTCTCTATGTGCCTGTCCCAAGTCAGGAGCCTGTAGTTCCGTGGTTGTTGTTGGTTCATGTCTGTCATATTTGTTTTTCGTAAATTGTTTTGTTATAAATTAAGCTGTTAGTTTTCTCAATTGAATTGTTTCATATTTTTCATGTTGGGGCCTTTTATAGCCTGGCACTATACGGTATGAGTTTTTCTCATTATTGAAGGCTGTACAGTTGCCTATAATTGCTTACATTTACTTTATTTGAACTTAGGTGGATACTTGTCTCAATGGCAATCATACCTCATCTCCTTATTTTTATATGAATTACAATTAAAAATGTATTTTTATTTTCATTTCAGCTGAAGCTTCAGTTTAAATTCCTGTAACTGTTTTCAATCATAGTCCATCAGTTTCCTTTGAAGAGTATGAATCACATATATATCAAACTTTCTTACCATATATAAATCATATTGGTAGATTTACACTGTATAAAAATAAAGAGATGTGGTAAAATTGCCAATGAGACAACTATCCACCAGAGTTTAAGCTACCTTTTCATTTAAGAAATAAATTAAGTTATCAGTTTTTTATTTTCAAAGTTTTCAAGATTGGGTAGGTTTCAGAAACCAATTATTTCTATGTAGCTGGCTAGCATTTAACAGTTCAGATCACATCAGGCTATCCTTACCAATTTTTGTTTAAAACATTGATGTCTTAAAAAATTTCTATAATTACTTAACTTACATAATGTACATCATCTTTTTCGTTGTATGCTAATTTGACAATTCCATAAGAACCCTGTTAAAATAAAATAATTCAAGTTATTATATCAGTTGTATTTGTATATTTATAGAATAAAACTAATGAAAGAAATCAAATTTAGAAAAATATTTATTTTTGTTCACACATCGTTGTCAATATAATGGAATTTGATGCAACTGTCATACAAGTAAGAGGTTTAGCTAGCTATAAAACCAGGTTCAATCCACCATTTTCTACATAAGAAAATGCCTGTACCAAGTCAGGAATATGACAGTTGTTATCCATTCGTTTGATGTGTTTGAGCTTTTGATTTTGCCATTTGATTAGGGACTTTCCTTTTTGAATTTTCCTCGGAGTTCAGTTTTTTTGTGATTTTACTTTTTATTCAACGATTGACTGAACAACACATTAATTCATGAATGTGAGTAGCAGTCACATGAGTTAATTATCAGTGTTGTTTGGTCACAAGTTGAATATTTTTCGATATTTGAATTTCTTGGATTAGGTATTCTTTTTATTACATTGACAAAGGACATTTTAATGAAAATAAAGTGGAAAATGAAAGGAACTATTACATTTTCTATGCATTCTCAATTGTTTTGATGCAACGTCATCGACGTTTTAACAACACTTATTGAGATGGTGTATGACGTCCTAGGGGTGAAATTAACTGTTTTTATTTCACTGGGATTGAATCACAGTATTTCAGTGCAAACAATGTAATAAATAAAATTGTCATATGGTCATTTAGTGTAAATTAAAGAATTTTCAGGTCATCTACCTCATAAAAGTCTGACTACATCTGGCAAACCAAAAATATACAGGAAAATGAGAATTAATTCATTTAACAACCTCCATAATATGAGATGCACATCTGTAGGTGTGCTTATGTTTTGTAAAGTTTCAAGGATCTTGTTTAAGAACTGTAGGAATTTAATTACTTATGACATACTGACCTATTTACTCATTTATAACTAGGTTTATAAGCACGGCATGTATTTATTTCTTGCCCTTCAAGAGCAGGAAGAAGAACTACAATGGAGCTTATTACTCAGAAGTTTTAATGATATTTTATTGTCTTTGTCTACATAACTATAGTATCATTAAAATGACATATAAAATGTTCTTGATGAATATTAAAGCTTCATGAATCGACATTAAAGAATGATCCATTAAATCTAAAAACCCTGCAGAAATATGAAATGTAGACTGTTATGATTGAAAATGAGGTCAATGGAGGTCAAATATAAATTTCAGTGCCAATATCAATCTTGAAATGAACAAGGAATAGATCTATCATTCCCAAGCAGGTGAAAATACAGAAACATGTCAGAAAGGACTTAAAATGATGAGAGACAGCAGTCATGAAAGACTAATAGAGAGAGAAAAAAAGAAGCAAAATGTAGCTGGAATTGACCATCTGGCAAAAATAGACCATCGACATTTAAATATTTAACCAAAAATCAGCATAAATACAAGTAGTGACCTGAATGAGCTGTTTTCTGCTCTTTGGTCGGGTTGTTGTCTCTTTGACACATTCCCAGTTTCCATTATCTTCTAGTATTTATTTACAAAATATTTTCAAGGTTATGTACATTCGAGACTATGTATAGGGAAATGTTCTGGACTTTTGATGGAGCTTAACCAAAAGTAATGGGACTTTACCAGTGCATAACCAAAATAGGTCCATACAATGGTTAGGGTAGGATTATTTGAAACCTTAGAGGGTACATAGGATTATTTGGAACCTAGAGTAGGGAGGGACTCGGAAAATACTGTATTTTTTTGGCCTATAAAGACAACAAACTCATTAAATACATTAAATTACATATAACAAATTGCTTCGCCGGGCGCAGCTGGATACAACTGCAGAGGTCCAACCCTGAACAGTTGGGGCAAAAATATTCGTGCTTGATACAGGTCTGAATTTGGATTGTAATTAAATATTTGACACATAATAGGTTTCTGACACAGAATAACTGTAGTAAAAGAACTTAGAATTGGTTATATGATTTGAATTTATATTCAATTTTTTGCTTTTGTGCAATACACTATGCTGTTGCGTATTGACACACACCCCCCCTCCCCCCATCCATCTTTTTTTTTGCAAAAAAAAAAAAAAAATTTGTTTAATTTGTTTGAAATCTTAAATGAGAAAAAATTGCCCCCTCCCCCCTTTTAAAAAAAAAAATTCTTTCCCTCAAGATATGGTCATAATCTCAATTCAAATTCCCAATGGAGTTTGCAACCATAATTACCCATTTAAATACATCATAAAAGTCTTAAACAGATAACTTAAAAGCAAAGTAAGGGAGGTAATCCAACATTATACAACATTGTACAATTTTGTTTTTGGATTACCTCCCTTACACTGCTTTTAAATTGTCCATTAACCAGGAAACCCTTGTTTTTCCCCCTTTTTTGCCCCTAATTCCTAAACTGTTTAAGCCATAACCCCCCAAAGCCAATCCTAACCATCCCTTTGTGGTATGGAAACTTGTGGTATAATTTCAGAGAGATCCATACACTTAAACACAAGTTATTGTCTGGAAGTTACAAAAATGCTTATTTTTGGCCCCTAATTCCTTAACTGTTGGTACCATAACCCCCAAAATCAATCCAAACCTTCCTTTTGTGGTATTGAACCTTATGGTAAAATTTCATAGAGATCGATCCTTTTAAACTAAAGTTATTGTGCGAAAACCAATGTGTCTTCGGACAATGACGATGACGCCAGCGTCATACCATTAATATACGACCGCAAAATTTTTTTGCTGTCATATAAAAAAACATGGCAAAAGTTGATTTATTCAAAATCTCCTATCAGTTGCATGATACAAATGAACCAAACATCCTTAGAAATTTAAAATATAAAAAGAACTGCTATTTCAATGCCATTTGCTAATCTTTATATATAGAAATCAGACTAAGTTACTATGCGTGTCTTGCAATTCAAGATTACAAAACACAATGACTTTTACAGGTATAGAGAAAACAATACATGACATCTGACTTTTGGAAAATGAAACATAGAACATCCTACTGAAGCCTTTAAAAATTAATTATTAAAGATCATTACTGCTTTAGTAAAAGTTCTTCAATTGATATTTCAAATATCATAATAGTTCATTAAAAAGATCAGCTTTTATAAATGTTTATGATTTTTCCTAAATATTCCCACAAAAGAATGTCACATTGATTTTCATGTCTTAATACTTTCATTCAGAAATGCCCACTCATTAGATATAAAATTCATTTCGTAACAAAACAATGAGCTATATATATCCTATTAATTCTTTAAAAAAATCCCTTTTATTTTAAGAGAATTGTTTGCTAAAATGCATGACTTATCTTTTTACTTAGTGCATCATATGTCAGCCCTTAAAAAAAAAAATTTGTAAGGGTTCCGCAGAACCCAATGTCTCGCCTACTTTTGCTGTTAGTCACAGGCTCAACAAAAATGGGGAAAAAATTATTAAAATTTTTCCTCTCGATACTATATTTTGATTGTAAGAAGTTCTGTTTAAGTTTGGTAAAAATCCAAGAAGGTTATGAATGTAATAAATGTTTTAAAAATTTTAACTGCAGACTGTACGTAATGTTAAGTGGAATAAAACTAAGTCCACTTATAAGTATTATACGGAAAAACGGGAAATAAATTCTTACAAAATTTCCTTCTAGATACTAGCTTTTGATCATAAAGAAGCTTCTGTCCAAGTGTGGTACAAATCCAGAATAGTTTAAGAAAGTTATTAAAATTTTGAAAGCTTTAACCACAGAGTGAATGTAATGTTAACTGGCAGAAAAACTAAGTCCATTTATAAGTGAAATATGGATAAACAGGTTTTTTTTTTTAACAAAATTTACTTTTGAATACTATCTTATGATCACAAACAAGCTTCTGTCCAAGTGTGGTACAAATCCAGGATAGTTTAAGAAAGTTATTAAAATTTGAAAAACTTTAACCACAGAGTGAATGTTATGTTAACTGGCAGAAAAACTAAGTCCATATATGAGTAAAATACGGATAAACAGGATTTTTTTTACAAAATTTTCTTCTGGATACTATCTTATGATTATAAACAATCTTCTGTCCAAGTTTGGTACAAATCTAGGATAGTTTAAGAAAGTTATTAAAATTTCAAAAACTTTAACCACAGGGTGAATATTTGTGGCTGCCGCCGCCGACACTGACGGAATGTAGGATCGCTATGTCTCGCTTTTGCGACAAAAGTCGCAGGCTTGACAAAAATGAAAAAAAAAGTGTTAAAAAGAGTTGTGCCTTTACAATTACTCTACTGTTTAAATTAAAGCCTTCAAATATTTTTTTATAAACTTCAACATGAAAATCAAACAGGAACTTTCACCTTCTTCAATCAGTGCAAGGGGCATAACTCTTTAACAGAGAAAACTCACATCAAATTAATCTAAATCGAATTACATTACCAAAACTTTTTTTCCTAATTAACTTTTTTTTGTATCTGAAATTATACACCAGTAATGAGAAAGATGGGAGTGATTATAACGTCCTTACATAATAGTGCTGATTTTCAAATTTGGAAGACCAACCTACATGTACCTTTTGATCTTGAAATTAAAAAAAATATTGCTGTTTTTCCAATTGTGTAAGATAAGCTCAGCTTTACAATGTACTGCAAAACCTTTGATCCACTAAATTACATAAAATTGCAGATTTGAATTCTGTAAGACTAAATCTTATTCCAAGCTGTCAACTCTTTGATCTTGTCGATATGTAACATGAACTATTATCAAAGACATATAAGAGATTTGCAACTATGCAAAATCTCATGATGTAACAGGGCCCTAGTGATCTGACTGATAATGTTTATAAGGTGTGGTGATCAAATTGTATTTCTCAGAAAAATATGTGTGGTTAGGACAAACCATGCCTCTTGTTAATTTTATGAAAGTCTCAAAATATCATTTTAGGTTTGTTTTTCTGTTGCCCAAGTAACACTATATCTTATTCACATTTATCCCACAGCTAGGAGCATAAGAATCTCTGAAAATTTGTATCTTATTACACCAAAAGTGAGCATACAATTTCCCTGTACATTTGTTTATCTGATTGCCAAAAAGCATAACGACATGTCTTAAAGATGTAGTCAGGTCAGGTTAAGACTTTTTGTCAGATGTTCAGACTCCTTGGGTTTTTTCCTACGACACAAGGAAAAATATTTTGACCCATATCACCCACTTTTCTTTTCATATATATAAGACTTTAATAGCTCATAAAAGGTCATTTACCAAAATTTAAGCAGTTTCTTGATTTCTTTTCTAAGATTTGAGACCAAAATAATGCCAATGCTTAATATAAGTTAATAGTCAGAGTCAGCCTTTTCCCTCCATTTTTTAAAAATCTAATACCTCAAAAAGAAGCTCCATAACCTATAAATATGTTTAGTGTATTTTGATCCTTAACTAATATTCTTCTGTTTTATAGTATCAATTTTGAATTCCAGATTTTTTAAATTTCACCTGACCACATCCTTAAGTTAATGAAAATAAAGAATAGGGTTCCAATGCCCCACACTAGTTGTTTGGAACTGATTTTCGAAATTGTCCAAGACATTGCTGATATAAAACTTTATATAAATTTCATAAAAATCTATTTTATATAAGTATTGTATATGTGAGATTGCTTACAAAACAGGAGGAAAAGATACTATGTCCCTTGCAATGCTTCACACGGGGACAATAACCAATATAACGTATGGGAGCTCATCAAGTAGGACCTGCCTCATACTATTAATCCTACCTGCACTGACTTGCTAATGTACAAGACAAGTATTTCTTTAAATCTTAATACATTACCTTTCCTATCTCATTCTTTAGTTGATACTGATTCAGTTGTGTGTAACCATCATTGTCAGTGACAGACACTCGTCGTGTTTCCATTGTTGGTTGTCGTCTTAATCTGGGCGAAGATGAAGGGGATCCAAATGGGGAAAGTCTACCTACACGGGGATAATCTTCAGACTGGCTATATACAATTTTTGGAGCATGTCGAGGAGAAGATTGAAATCTATTTATAGACTGGTTGTCATCAGAGGAGTTATCATGATTTGATTCTTCGAGTTGTAGAGGCACAATGAGGTGATCGATACAAGGCTCATATTGTATAGTTTCAGAATTACTACTAACATTTGAATTCTGTTTCACTAACGGAGGTTTGGATAATTTTACAACAGCACCATTTCCATAGTTTTTCCTATGTCTATAGTCTTGTACAATATCTGAATCGCTATTTTTATGTTTATCGGAACTAGAATCAGCGATTGAGTTTCGGTGATGACGATTTTCTTTCTGTAACTTTCTGTCATGTAATGTCACATGCGTTTCTGTTTGCTTGCCCAAAATATCCTCTTGGTCTCTTTGGCATCTCCTGAAAGTAGAAAAAAGCATGCCATTGTACAAAAGAATTTCTAGTTTAACTAGACCTAATCACACACTAATACATTGTTGACGCCGCTGCCGTCACCATCGCTGTTGCCGGAAACAGCATACCTATGTCTCTACGTCAAGGCGAGACAAAAACAGAAAATTAAAAAGAAAACATCTGTGAAGGCTAAGCTTTCATAGTAGATCTGTTATATTGGGCAATCAGACTAAAACAACATAAACTGCATGACTAACAGAAATAATTGGAGGCCAATAATTCTTTTGTGATCTATAATACTTCATTTTACTTTATATATTTGTCAATTGTTTTTTAAAACAATTTAAAAGATAAATTTATATTCTTGTTCACTTATATTTGTATTTCTAAGACATTGGATTTTTCTTGGAAAATGACCCAAAGAAATATTTATGACCAACATTAATATTATTAGTTCAAATTACATTTAACTCATACTTATTATATTAATTTGAATATTATTTCAATTATTGAAAAATTATCTTCTCGCTTTCAAAGATAGATAAACGGTCATCAGAAAATTGTAATACAATGCCATATATCTGTGTGTCTTAAACATGGTTGTATTCTTTTCAATTTAGCTAACATTTATTCTTTGACTATATAATATAGGCTAGCTTTTAGTTTTGTCATATATAATGCGTTTCAGTCATATATCAAATTTAGAGCATTTACAGTAAAAATAAGTTATGGTGGTCAATTTTTATTTCTCAGAAAAATGTGCTTTGGGTAAACAAGATGCCTATTGTTAATCATATGATTATCTCCAGATAACTTTATAGTCTTTTTTGATTCATAATTGACAGTTACTATCTAATTGACATTTATCCCACAGCCCCTTTATTCCTTTACCTCATTTTGCACATGACAATAGCATAAGTCTCAATTGCCCCTCACCACAGGTCACTTTAAGTGGTAGTTGACTGAAAATTACTATAATAAACAGTTATAACCAATTTCTTTTAATGAACATGATTATACTCCTAATAACACCCTATGTAGTATGTCAATAAAATGAACATGATTATACTCCTAATACACCCTATGTAGTATGTCAATAAAATGAACATGATTATACTCCTAATACACCCTATGTAGTATGTCAATAAAATGAACTAGATTATACTCCTAATAACACCCTATGTAATATGTCAATAAAATGAACATGATTATATTCCTAGCTTTATTAAGTAATGAAGAATTTGAAAATATTCATTGCTGATTTCATTATAATTTATTGAAGTCTTACCAGGGGCGATCAAGGATTTTTGAAAGGGGGCATAATTCCAGAAAATATAATAGATTAAAAAAAAAATTGAATGATTTTCTGCTAATAATTAAATCATATGAATCATGACAAACATGACATTTTTTTGGTGCTCAAAGAGGGGAGCGTCCTATGCCCTCTACTATCTATCCCTGATCTGCCATAGCTTACTGTAAACACTGTAAAATACTTGTGACTATAATGATCAATTTCATAGTTCTAAGAAATGTACTTAATTTTTATTCCACTGAAATATAAACTTAATCATCTAAAATATAGTTTCTGAGACAACATTGAAAGATGAAAATTAATATTTGAATAAGCCATCTACAGACTTCACACTTACTGACTAAAAACAGACATGATCAAACCACTGGACTCCTAATGAACGTCAATCGTCAATATTAATTAAACTATATATATATGATGCATGACATTCTATCAGGATATCAAGATTACACAGAATCTAAAAATAAATTCCCACAAAAGGAAATATTAAAAAAAGGAAGTTAAAAAGAAGCTTTTTATATGAAAGAGGTTCACTAAGGGATTCTTCAACATGATAAAATTGAGAATGGAAATGGGGAATGTGTCAAAGAGACAACAACCCGACCATAGAGCAGACACTTTTCCAAAATTTGTAAAATACACTTTTTTTTTAAAAGTCAACGTATTTTGCCTTCGGATTTCTGTCTCATTAATTTACTTATACCTCATGATCATGAACCTGAGGTCTATGGGTACATGGAAGTTCTCATTGTACAGAAAGCGTCTTGTTTGCTTTAAATACAACTTGAGGGCATTAGAATGAATTTGTGTATCTAATTTACACTAAGATATTATTGTCAATGCAGAATGATTATTAGTTCAATAATTTAGGAGGTTTTTTTTTTCAGCGAGTTTGATCATATAATATTGAAATGCATGATGAATGCAGGGTATCCATTTTCATTTAACAACATATTGGTGTTTAAATTATTGTATTAATAGGAATGAGCCAGGCTTAAATTGTATTGACTATCGAAGAGAGAAATTTTTAGGAAGCGGTTAGAAAAAAAACAGACGCCAAATAATCCATGATAACTTGAACTCTGCATAAACCTAGGGATTCAATTCTTTTCAGTTGAAGTAGACTCTTAAGAAAAGAATCAGACTTGAATTAGATTTATTTTCATATAGTAAACATTGTTTTTAGGAAATCATTGGACGAAAGAAAGCGCTAAAAGACACCAAGTGTGGTAGTAGCTCATTTAATCCATGACAATGCTCAACTCTGTGTATACCTAAAGATTAATACCTAAAGATTAAATTTTTAACACAGGGCAACTTGGGAATATCAATCATTTATAACTTGAATTGGAATCGACTTCATACAAAACTTTAAGAAAATTATTTGACAACAAAAACCCAACAAATACTAGGTGTAGAAATAGCTGAATTAATCCATGACAACAAGAATTCAGTGCAAACCAATAAATTCAAATTGTACTTTTATCATTAATGAAGCTGTTACTCTGAAGTACCATCAGCCAGCAATAACTATCAATTATAATCACTAATCCTAGGAACAAGTGAATAAAAAACATGTAAATCTTTCTCTTATTACTACCAAAAGTCATTTCCTTCCTAATAACTGACCACATAAAAATCCAATCATACTGATTTCATATTCAATGTTCTCATTACCACGCCAAACTCATACACATGGCGGTAAATCACACCAACTATAAGTTATAAAACATTTATGTGATCTGCTAATTCGGAGATGTTTATACCCTTGGTTATTTGGCCAATTATGGGTATAGAAGTCATCGACAGCTAATTTACTGGAGAATGATTCAAATGAGGAGATTGAAAAAGTTAATTATCAACAACATTAAACAGGTCAAATACGATGTGTTGGTTAACAATTAACATCTTCGATGAGAATGGCTAATACTACTAAAGTATTTTGATTCAAAAAGCAATAATATAAAGTTAGTTAGTTTTTTTTTTTTCCAAGCGGTCAATTCAATTAAAGTGAAATTGGTTATTTTTTTCACTTAAACTAATAATCAGGTGTTGAATCATCAAAACTGAGGTTGAAAGCCATGAATTATTTTGAATTATCAAACATTTTTGTGTTTTGCTTAAACACATGAAAAATGAAATTTATTCATTTAGTTTGTTCAATGATTACTGCCCAACAACTGGAATGTTATATATTCACTATGTTGCTAACTTTAAAGCCACAAAAAGTATGATAAAAGATTAATTGTTTTTGCTGTATGTTTACAAAAGAAATAAAAAAAACGACAATAATAGTGCTGCAGCTCCTATTCTTTGGTTTTTGAAAGTGAAATTAAGTTTTCATGATTTCTATGCCATGAATCATGTCAAAAAGCATCTTCTCTAATATTTTTCCTTAAGAAAATGATCAGATTTATTTACCTTAGTCCTGAAACAAAATTAAATCTATATTAGGAGATCTCATGCAGTTTGTGTGGAAAATGGTTGATTCCCTAAATTGTTCCACTCATATGATTTGTATTTATGTTACAAGTCTGGATTGTTAGTTCAACCAGATAATTTCCCATTGAAAAACCACTTCAGTCACTTCTACAGACTTAATATCTAATAAGTAGAACAGGGTTTGATTATTATTTATCTATTCTTCTTCCTGGTTGAAACCAAATTCATCTAATTCTTAAATGCATTTAAACTAGCTTTTACTTAGGTTGGATACAGTTTTCTTAAACTGTACATACATCAAACTGTCCAGTGTGACTTCCCTCCAAATTTTGAGGCAATACGATACATAGTTTCTTTTGCATTTGTCTATGTATCAGTCTTAAGTTCTCAGACTCTGACTCAGTCTAAAGTTTACCCATTTATGGGCATCCTAAAATAATATATAACTCCCTTTCATGTGAATTAAGACATAATTTGAAGTAAAATCAATTCATACAGTCTAAATCATAATATATTGTTTAAAAGACAGACCTTCTCAAAATACAAGTTGTCCCAAGCAAAGAAACTTCAAGGACTTAATTTTAAACAAGTCCGTTTGAGTGTGAATTATAATTTATTCAAGGACTTCCACTTTACAACACTTAACACATCACTTTATCTGTCATTATTTAATAATCACATTTTAAAGTGAAAAGAAAAAGGCTATACCTTTAACAAGTGGTATAGAAGTAATAGGTTTACTTAAGGTGGTTTATTTAAATTGAATTTCAAAAAACCATTTATCACATGTTTTATGCACCATGCACATATGCCCAGAGTTAAAAACAGCAGGATGTTTTATCAAGGTCAATCCATCGTTTTATGATAAAATTTTAGTATTTACTTATTGTTACATATTACGGATTTGTAAATACTTTGAGCTAGGAGATGTAATTCTTTAAACTACAAAACATATAAAGATTAATCAAATTTGATGCTACCTCTTTTTCAATTGCCTTAAAAGTGTATTACCCGGGCCCCGCCCCGGCACTAATTATGAATAAAAGGAGAAGTGGTGTAATGAATATCAATAAGACAGCAACCCAATGACTAAAGTAACCAAAATATATCTACATTGCAACATACAGTCTGGTGCAACAGGATTATACAATAGCAACATGTTTATAGGAATAGTTGATCAAATGTATTGCAAAATTACATCGAGTAACACATGAATTTATCAAGTTTTGCAGGCTTGCACTTGAATAGC